AACGTAGATCCTACAGCAATCATCCTAATAGCTTCATATATCTTGGGTTAAAACATTCCTCCAAAAGAAATTAAAGCTGACAGAAGAAACATAACATGCAAGTTTTCTTACCATAAGTTAAAGAACTCTCAGCCAGATTTTAGAACTTGCACAAATATCAGTCGGTGGTCACCACTTAAAAACAGAAGCTTCCAGGTTACTGTCAGTTAGTGTCCTAGATAATGACACCTTCCAATTCCAACCTTCTCTCAACCCTCTGTTCTACCACAGGTAATCCCTGTGTACACAAACGATCACAGACCACCGCCCTGGTGTCCACACAATATAACCGTCTTTATCAGCAGGCAGGTCATGGTCACAGGTGAACTATGCAAACTACACAGGCATACATACAGAATCAAAATTATTTATTTCAATAATAATAATAATATCAAAATTTATTTCATGTCACAAAGAATAATATACAATGTAATTTAAAAAGATCACTGAAGAAAATTGCAGTAAGGGCAAGACATATTTTACTTTACAGACTTATCATTCATTTTTCATGAAACAACATCAGTTTTGTGAGGCAACATTCCTTATTACATAAATTATTGTCTAGGTCTTTTATATATTTCTGGATATCATTTTGTCACTGAAACAATATTTTTATGGATTCAAATGCATACACTTTAGAACACAATTCTTGAATAGAGAAAACAATTTTGACTTCAGGAATTGTAAGTTGTAACTATAACCTGTTCATGATACCCTTTCCCCTCAAGACAAGTTGAAAAACAGACTTTTTTTAATCAACTTTCCACATGAAAGTTTTAAGTCCAAACCTTCACAGCTCACGTGTACCTTCACAGATCACATAGCCATGGCTCCTTTCTCCCAATTTATGTTAGGTTGGAATATGGATTGAGGACTTGGTCCTACACCTCTAAAGGGATAGAATTAAGGGGGGAATTCCAAGCACTCGTCAATTGTGTTCAAAGCAGAAAGCTGACACACCCTCATTAATATTCAAACTTCATAGAATACTTCAACTCCTTCCTTTCACAAGGAATCCCTCCACTTTACAATATTTTGGAGAAATGTTAGCCTTGGTAAAAACTAGATCTTTTCAAAGAAGGAAAATTGTGAATTTTACATGTACTGTATTTTTTTAAAGCTGTAAATTCTTGAAAATACAACATTTCTACTGAGTGGCAGCAACAAAACTGAGAAGCAGGCTACTTTGCATGTAAAAGCACCACAAACGCTACACAAAAATATTGTTGATGATTACAAAACTATTAATCTGACAATTGATAACTTCTCCCTGTTGAAAAGACTGTGTCATTACTGTACATCATACTTGGTATCAAGCACTCTTATCAATAAGTTAAAATAAAATCATAAAATCCCATATGAATTTGGCAAAAAAAAAAAAAAAATAGTTACAGGGCCAAAATAAATCATCCAATACAATTAACTGCATTTGTCAATGATGAATCATTAACTACTCAGTATTGGGTAGATGTTAAAAAAGAATGAATTTCAAATCTTTATTTACAAATTTTAAATACATACCTCACCTCAAATTTGGTCTGTACCTATATTTTCCTTATGTCATGGTCTGTTTATTGGATTGATTACATTACTTTTGTACAATGGGCTTTCAAAAATACTCTAATCTGTATGCATATATCTTCCTTATGTCATGGTCTCTTTATTAGATTGATTACATAACTTTTGTACAGTGGACTTTCAAAAATACTAATCTGTATGCATATATGTATACATCATTGTAAATGTTTTGTATCTATAATTCTCTGTACAGTTTTTAACAATGTATGCCCCATTAAGAAGCATTCTTCACACCAAAGTAAAACGTTTGACACAAACACAGAAACAAACATTTTTGAAGTTTTTCATCTAGTATCTTTCATTGGAAAGTTTTCTGGGCAATCCAGCCACAATAGACATGGAATAACCAAAGGAATGTAGAAAACGCAGTCCAGCAGTCTGCTCAAGAATTCTGCTTCCCATATGGCCACCCCAACTGCAGGTAGCACCACTATAAAATAGTCTATCATCCCCATCGTGCCTCCTATGACACCAAGCAGGACGTATCCAATGGGTCTTCCCACACAGGACACCCAGGGTCTAGAGGACATCAAGTGGTCATTTTCAGGTAGTAGTTCTCCTCTCAGAACACTGCAGTACACTTTATAAAGGCCCACTAAGGCAAACAGAGCACATGGACAGTAGTAAACAAACACTACAATACTTTCCTGTTCTACTAGTTTTGCAGCATATGTAATGATGGTCAGAACAATAGCAAAGACTGCGAAAGATCCCCATGCTGCTATGGTGAGATAGCGATGGATTGGCGGCGCCATCCTGAAGTATATCACAGAAGCTAGGCGAAAGTAGGTGCTTGCAGCAAACAACAGCAGGATATTGTTGAAATAATTGAGGATTGCATTGACACTGCTGGTCTCCACTCCTCCCTGAATTACTTTCAATGCTGAAAAAATAGCATGAGTGGCCAGGTACTGCAAGTAGATGACAAATATGCCATTGCTGGGTCTCTGTCTCAGTAGCACCATGGTCAGTGCCCCCAGACCACAAGTAGTCCCCCACAGGGTATATCCTATCCTGGTTAAGGTCCATACAGAACTCATAGTGATTCACTGCCACAGGGAACTTGAAAGTGGTTGTTGGTACTGTATCTGTCAATTACCGTAAGCTACTTGTATGTGTCTTTCTAAAAAGATAGTTCTGAAAGAATGGAAAGAAAAGTTATTTTGTCTCTATATAAATTGTGGTTGAAAAAACACAAGCAAGGTTTGTAAAATGAATATTCATTTCAAAATTAATAAATACTTAATGATAGACAAGGTAATATGCCTATGGTAAAAAGCCGAAATTGTCTGCCAGTGGGCATTTCAATACAAATGAATGGGGAAATTGACAGAACAATTTAACTGAAAACTAACAATACCACGTACATTTACAAAAAACAGTTATAAAATTATAGAAAGGACTGGAGAAAATGCAGCAGGAGAGCTGAAAGAGAGATGCTGAGATGGGGTGGAGCGCTTGGAGTAACAGAGGACAGCAGAAAAAGAGAGAGGGATGGATGCAGTGGAGAGTAAGGGGGTAGTGGAGAACAGCTTTTTATCGTCTCTCCGAGAAAGACAAAGTCAGAGGGACAATATCAAGCCATCTTTAGTGTTGCTGTAGGCGAAGCAGATAGTTATGTCCTACTTATGTTTTTATTTGAATGTTTCAAAAATTGTCAAACAAAACTATGCATATAAAATAAATAAACTGCACTGAGCTGCAATTAATTTGCATTGAATTTGTCATTGATGAGTTTTCTAGTGTTTTAAAAAATCTACAAGGACTGCATGTATTTTTTTAAAAAAATTTAAAAATTCTTTTAATTCATGCAATTTTATTTTTGAAACTTAACCTCGTGACATGCACCCCAAGGCTCTATGTAAGGTTTGCCAACTTTGGGTGACAGCACTTATTACCGCCAGCAGGTGCGTGGATAGAATCGTATGTTTTCGCAAGAAAATTACTACCGGAGTACATGATACGCTCTTACCGTTATCCTCACCTCAAGGAAATTGTTACATGGTCTTGTATTATAAAAAGAAAGGTTCTTATAACTGATTCTCTGCTTTGAAAACCGAAGAAACTAAGCTCCCAAGCATAACGCCATTTTGTTCGCACTTTGTTTACGTCTTGGCTTCTACTTCCGGAAGTGCGCAGGTATCGTGATCGTCACCGGTTTCGTTTGCTAGATAAGGAGAGCACGATGCACCTCTGTATGTAGTATGGGAAGTTTTAACACGCAAGCTCACTTGAATATTTTAAGCTGGAATTCCTATATGGCTCACTGAAAATCATTGTGGTATAACAAGCGAAAAGTGACGAATATGGATAATTCAACTTAGCTGAAAGTCGTGAAAGGTGTACCGTTTTGTACAAGAGAACCCTCAAATGTACGGCTAATTTGGGACGGACTAGTTACGGCCTATTAGTCGTTATCGTTTCCATATCAATAGATTTGTTAAATTTTACAGATACTTTATTTTTTTAAAAGTCATAATTTCTTAATTTGAAAACAGTCGCATTGAGCGGTAGCAACAAAATTGAACGCATTCTATTCTATGTAGTAAAAGCGCCACAGATACTATAAAAATTGTGATTTTTGAGATTTTGAAAATATAATATGTATCTGAAAGTTTGATAATTTTTGCCCATTGAAAAGATTAAATAATTACCGCATGAATTAGAGATAACATGGACATTCGAAAAATGTAACTGGCACAGGGTTTCAGGCCTATGGGTATTCAAATTAAGTCACAACTTTAAAATGACAATTTGGTGAAAAAATGGAAATTTCACGGATTTCATGTCTTCAAGAAAAACAGTCCAATAAAGCTGCCATTCTTCTTATGACAGTTTTGAAAGTATTTTGCAAGCTTGTCCATCCTCTTTTTTGTCTTTAAGTATATTATTTCTACATACTAGTAAAACAACCTGCTTTGTCACTTTCTGTCTGCTGCCATACCAACTTAAGCTTCAACAAATGAATCAATGAAAGTTAAGTCTCTTTTGGTTATTTTTATTGCATTTGAAAGCTAGTTGGCTTTTTTCTCTTTGGAGGATGTGTATGGTATACCTTTAACAAAATAACCCAGTTACTATTCATTTTCTAAAACAAATTTTCACAGATAAATATAAAGACAAAGGAATAACCTAGTTATTCATGTTCTAAAACAAATTTTCACAGAAATCTAAAGACAAAGGAATATATTTTTGTGAGTATAAGAAATAGTTGAAGAAAATTACAGAAAATGACTATTTCTTACATAAACTCCCATTGAAAGTTTATTTTTCAAATCATATATATATATATACAAGTAATCTGAGACAGAAATATATTTAAAATATTATTAAGAAAATCATTCAAATATAAATTTCTGCACAACTTTACTTATTATCAAGAATAAAAAATACTGGTTAAGCAAACGTAGACAAATTAATGTAAATAACAGATAAAAATATAATACTGATTTATTAAAAGTTCTTTCTGCATTCTTAAATCACCAAATCATAATTAATGATAAATTCTCACTCAAAGATTCTTTTGCCATTAACTGCTCCTAAAACATAACTATCCTATAAGGCATTGCCTTGGCTCCCTTTCACATACCCTAATGGACCAACAAATGTAAATATGCATACCTGGGGTTCTGTTTAGGTGACTCTCAATGAAATTCTCCTGGCATGGAGTAGAATATAGCTCATTTAAGTTGGTGATTAGGGATTACGTATGAGAACACTGGAGACAAGAGGAGACATGCAAGTCTGTTAATCTGATTGCATTCAGGGAGTTCCGTGAAGTGCGTAATAGCTAGTTTTGACAAAATTAATTGTGAACTGTCCAATAGCTATCTATCATGGATAGATTTTAGAAAAGTAAGACTGCAAAGGTTAAAAAAATATTGGCTTTCAATCAGTTTCAGACATCAATTTAGAACTTTCCACCATGACACTGCTTCCTTTCTAACTCTAACAGCAGCTGTATTCATCTCTTGCTTTAAAAATATTCAACTTTCTGAATTTGTGCTGCAAGTATGCCACTAGGTTTATTTCAATGATATATTTTGTAAGCAGTGCCATAAAACATTTGGTTTTCACCAAGAAATTCAATATGTCTGACAAGTTTGATGTACAAATTTAACATACAAATGCCATATCTTTCGCTCCCAATTGGGGCAGTGCAATAGCTTCCAGTCTCACAGTTGTAGAGTTTGGGAGATTCAGCACAAAAGACTACTGTAAGTATGATTGTGCTTACTAAAAGTCTAGTTCACACTTTCTACTTCATATATTTTTAATGAAGATTCCTCAAAAAAGCTCAAGTGGGGAACTGCAATAAGCAACATGGCAAGAAAAGCAATGGCTCAATTTTCACTTCAAGCTTGGTCATTTGTAAAACCTATTGTACCCAATGATCAAATCCAGTATATTTGGGGTAAAACCAGATGAGTCTAGTCACCTTTATTTGGCTACTTTGGGGTCATAGGAAATGATTAGCAATTGTGATTCTTAAAACGCTGCAAGAATGCCAAATCTATGATGCCTTCATCTTGATGGCTATGGAACAATTTGCATCTTATCATATCATAAAGCAACTGCTACAGCATTCTAAGGGAATATGAAATAGAAAGCTCTTACTTGTAAGCTAAAATGTAAATGAATCTATGTTAACCAAAAAAACTAAAATGCAAATTTTGCAGAAATTTATGAAATGTATTTTTTACTTGGGATTTTCATGTAGAACTAACTTCCTCAAATGATAGTTTTGTTGGTTTACTGTTCATCTGAGGAAGTAGAAATATCACATGCTACATGAATCCATTTTTTCTGAAAGCTTGTGCTTAAACCTTGAGTCGGTGTGTAAGGGGTTTTATGGAATGTTATGTTGTCTATTCCCTTTCTTATGGGAGACATACAGTGGTCACACATCCCATCATAAAGTGCTGTTGTTGTAGGTTTCTTATTAGGTGTACTTGGGGTGGAAAAGCTGGGCTGGGCTTTCCGTTTTGGTGAAACTAATGGAGATTTCATGCTGGTAGTTTGATGGGGCAATCTGGCAACCTCTCTTGTTTTCTGGGCACAAGGCCTTCTAAGAAAATCATTTTTCAGTGGGGAACTGATGGAAGGAAGATCGAGTACATCTGTCTCTGAACTTTCTTCAATAGGACGGGCTAGTTCTAAATTTGATTTGTCATCCTTTGCCAAAGCTGTTTCCATACTCTCTGCAACACTGAAAAGTTCTGAGTCATTTATCACTGAATATTCAGAAACTGTTGGAATCTGGTCTTCTTGTTGTGGTGTGCTATTTACATCTGTTTCCTTTCTTCCTTCTGCTTTGTTTTGTGTAATTCCCCCTTTGGTTAAACTGTCTTCCTTCTCTTTGTCTGGAATAAGGAATTCATCACCAGTCATGACATTTTCAAAGAAAGTCTCACTCCACTCGGACCAACTTTGGCTCTCATTGCTGACTTTTGTATTGGAAGAAACTTGCACATTATCAGATCTGGGTATAGTAGACCTTGATGAATGCACTTCTGCCTCATTGAAAGACGTTGCTGAAGCTATTTGGTTATTACCTGTTATGTTAGAAACTGGAAGGTCAGGAATGTCTTGCAATGGTTTCTCTTGACAACGATTGCCATCAGAAGAAAGATGGTTAATCATGCCAGTTGTATGATTAAATCTTATCAAACCACTGTCATCAAAGTATACCGACAATTCCAAAGCATCTTCTTCAGAGGAGTCTACAGCTTGAGCGTATTCAAAATCTAAAGATTCTTCTTTCTTACTGATGCTTGGAAGTGCTGGGTTAATTGTCTGCAAATAACAATTTAAAGGTACATACGAACCGAGCATCGGTGGAGTGTGGATTCCCAGTAACACATGTAAACCACTTCTACTAGATTCTTATATGGCTCTAATAAATTCCACATGCCAAGGGATAAACTGAATAGATCACTCGATCAGCCATAAAAGACCTTTAGACTGCTCCTTTCTTTAAATTTATGGTTGTAAATTTAACCTACTTCCGTGACCTACTTTCCTACCCCATTGACATACAGCTTAGAATGCCAGCAGAAAAATCTGTTCAAACATCATTTTCGGGTAAAATTAAACAATGCCTTTTGGTAATTCTCTTAGTTATACTACTTGAAACTATATGCTGGCATTTGGTTGGTTTTTGTGACAAAAAATTGACTTTGTATGCACCTTTAAAAACTTTGTTGTATATTCTACAGTATGCTAATCAGAACAAGACATGTACAAAGTTCATAGATCCTAATTAATCTATAACTTCTAAAAAATCAAAATACATAGTTTACATTATGGGAAATGCATACATGGTAATGTATCTTTGACACTATAATGGGCTGAATCGGCTGCCCAACTTTCAAATTTTCTAAAACAAGATGCTAAGCCCCAGTCCCTAACCTAAAATAGAAAGGGGGGGGGGCTCAGTGAGTTATCCTAAATTTTCTTATTTATTGTGTAAATAAATATATTGTGCCCTCTCAACTCATTTACAGCCAGGACCTGTCTGTGATAATGGAAAATCAAATAAGTTTTATCTAAGACCCCATTCCTATACCTAGATCAATCTAGCAGGATCTACCCATCCCTGACGGGTTTCTCGCTAAATTACAATTAGCTTAAGCAGCTCTATTATTTAGCATGCCTACTGAAGCTGTCAGGGGTACCCGACATCTAATTTGCTTAAACTGAATGCAATTTAGCAAGAATCCCTCAAAGATGGGTCGATCCTGCTAGATATGGGAATGGGGTCTAAAATCCATGTCCTATGCACCAGAAGAGACTTACTTCATCAGGCTTAGCTACTGCATGAGGAACAGCAGGTTTCAGTGATGGGCCTTGCATCCTCCTTTTCTTCTTCAATTCTCCAATGAGCTTGGTCAGCCTCTCATACAGACTTGTGTTCCTCTTCCTTGCCACTGTTCCTACTGCGGCCTTAAGCTGGGATTTCTCGGACAGAATGATCACCTGTTTCCTGCCCCGTGTCACTGCCGTGTACACATGCTTCCAGTTCTGGCCATAGGCTTTACCCACCACATAGGTGACAGTCTCTGATTCTGAACCCTGCAAGGTCAGACAGCAACCCAATTATTATCCTTACATTCTCATTACAACTTGTTATCTAATCCAGTTCTACTGTTAGCTTTAATTGTCTTCATTATATTTTTAATCTTGAGCTTCTTTCAGTAAAGCAATAATCAGAACTACAAGTCATCAATAAGATATTTCAATAATTGGGCATGTCTTAAAAGAGCATTTTTAATCCACCTATGCACTTTACAATTAACACCCTCATCTTCCTCATAACACACACATCCTCTACCTGATAGGTGTGAATAGTCCGTGCCCAGGCATGTCTCAGCTTACACTGACTCATCACCTCCCTGTAGCAAACTTTTATGATACGCCGATGGTCTGGATCTCGGTCATCCAGGACCAGGAATCTTTGTTTGTTGTTCAATGTTTCCACAGTGATATCCTTCAATATGAAGAACATGCAGTGCATTAGTGTTCATATCCTGGCGAGTGATCTGGGGACCAGTTTCACAAGAAGGCTAAAGTTTATTTTTGGACTAAAAAATTAGCAGACATATTAAGCTGATTAAGCAGCTTTTTAAAAGAGTATAAGGAGCCTTTATTTCTCTTTCATCTCATTTTTTTTTGGGGGGGGGGGGGGAGGGGGGGAGGGGGAGGAGGTCTACCCAAAACTTTTGATGTAACAGTTTTTGACAAAGTTATTATTCCTACAGTCAGCTGTCCAGTTTTAACAGTTAAAACAAAGTTTCTAAACTTTTGTGAAACAGGTCCCAGCTGGAAAATATGAAAATAACTATGAACTCATTGTTTATCCATACAACACAGAAATATCTAGAGCATCTGGTTTAAAATCATACTGTCATCAAAACTTGAGGATCAGAGAGGCAATATGAGGAATTTGTAATCCTCATATATGTCTTTCAGTCAGACTTCTATACTAATTTTCCCCATAACTCCTTCCATTTAGGAGATATATAGCATTGAATTTTCAAAAAATTTGACAAGGGTGCATTTCATCGAGTGTCATGCCCAAGCGATTGCACCGTCTGAGACAAAAAAAAACAGGGGGTTCAAGTTGAGATTATATGTGACCTAATTCCAAGAGATGGGGACACAGGTCCGTGTGGTCTAGGAGGAGAAGCGGTAACGGTGACTTGTATCCCACGCAACCCTGCAAAGCTGGCGGAGCTTATGTAGCCGGTGGGGCTGTACAATACGGGTCGGGACTAAAACCATGAGTACTGCCAGCGTACAAGCTGGTGGTACTAATAAAGTTGATCACAGTCCTGTGTCAATTATGAACTACTTTTAAGGTATTAAGACTCCGTTCACATGACAAGTCTATTTCCTAAAAATATATTTCTATTTGCGGTATCTTGTGATCACTCCGAGCACAGCCGAGAATTAATTACAGCTTTGGAAGTAACTGGCTCGCGCTGCCAGTAATTACGCTGCGGGGTATTCAGGGCACAGACCTGATCACAAGATACCGCGAATAGAAAATAGATTTTTAGAAAATAGATTTTCCATGTGAACAGAGCCTAAGTCAGCTGCCTTTTTTTCAATGTAAGTAAACCTTATGGCATATTGCATTTCAGAATGAAAATTTTTTTTCAAATAAATTGAAAATCTTTCTCCTTGCTTAAAGCCTGCTCCTGACACACTTCAACAGTAAATGATGAAAATAAATGTAAATCAGTATTCAGAACTCACATCTTCAATAAAAAACACCTCCCCGTTGCATAGCCTAGGCTTCAGCTCAATAGCATCATCTTCGTCCTCAGTTTCTGAGTCATTTTCCTGGGAAACTGCTGCACCTGCATTTGTTTCATTCTCTGTTTCATCAAAAGTACTTCCAAAAGGCATGGCACTGCATTCCCTAGCTGCAATTTTCCTCCTTTTCAATCTCCTTTGTACTTTTTCTTTTTGGGAGTGATCTGTGACACTTCCATTCTTTCTGCAGCATACTTTGTCTCCTGGCCGAAAGTCGAATCTGCCTCTTGGATCCTTGATACTATGACCAACGTAATGGAGGCAGCAGATCTCATTGATGCGCTCACAATCTTTACTGAAATTACAACAGTGCAGTTTAAGTAAACAAGTCCAGTACTTGTGCCTTTATCTTATTCAAATATTTTCAGGATTTTAACTTTCCACATATTAATCTATTTAAGTGTTAATATTATAAAAATTTAACATGTTAAACTATGTTAAACTAACTATTAAATGTATTTTGTTTTCATGAAATAGACCAAAAGAAATTATATCCTTTCTGCCATTCTTATAATATTAATTCATTTATCATCATCAAGTACTTCATTATTGATCACTACTGTTTTCTCCTTTTTTAAGTCAACTATGTGATATCTTTTTATAACGATGCTTGTTACCAGAGGAGAGCAACATCTGCATGTCTTACTTTCTAAATGCTACAAACTGGGAGTTTTCTACAGTTCCTATGCACGGATCCTGGCCACTTAACAAACTCCTTACTGCACCATCAATGCCTGGAATATAAATCATTTACTGATGTTAGTTTCTAATTGCACACACATGTAATCAATTAGCCCATTTTTTCCCTAATACTTTTAACTAATTCTTTCCTTTGCAAAAATGAAAACACAAGGAGATTGAAGAGAAAAAAATTAACAGCAGTGTATATTTCAGATTTAAAGGATAACTGAAGAATACGTTTCAACTATAACATTGATGAATAAAAAACCTACCTGGTCCATCATCATTTTCTGGTATTGTGACCTCAAAGAACTTATCCTCTTTGTTAAACAGTGGGACCTCCAACTTAGATATTCTTTCTGCATTCTCAACTATTGCCTTGGATTCACTCCTGTGGTTCTGTTTTAACAATATGCTGCATCCACTATCATGTAAAGAATCATACAAATCAGATAGAAAGTTCCCGGGGTCAATAGAAGGCAACTGATTCACATCACCAAGCACAACCAACTTTTTGAGATCTGCATGTTGAAGTAGAAGTTGAAACATATTGTTGAAAAGACAGACAGAAACCAAGCTGGACTCATCCACTACCACTGCTTTGACATGCTTGAACTTCCATTCAGGATCTTCTTCATTTGAATTTTTTACCTTTTTGAGGTGCATCCTCCAGCTCCAGAGCACCTGGTGCAAAGTAAAGGAGGGCAGCTGAGAACGCCGGCCAAGAATATTGGCTGCCTTGCCAGTGGGAGCAGTGAGCAGCACTGTAATGTCTGTTTTCAACTTTTGTTTTTCTCCAAATTCTTGATTCTCTGGCATATCCATGGTTCCACTGAATTCCAATTGTACATCATTCATCATATCTTTCTCTTCGTTAAATGGTGTAATTTCTTCTCTCTCAAATCCCTGGTCTTCAGTTTTGTTATCTAGTTTTTGTGCATGTCTAAACACAGAGCTGACAACAGTTGTCTTCCCACAGCCACCTTTACCTGACAAAACAGTTACGGCATTCTGACTGATGACCTGTGCAGCAAGCTTCTGATCCTCATCCTGAGCTATTTGCTGAAACTCAGGCCTAAAATTAAAATATTTACTGGATAATGTACCAAGTAAGCCCATTTCTTATGTGTGCTATAAATACAGTAATATGCGCACTTCTTGTTAACCATTTTGTGGAAATACTTGCCCTATTTACACAATAAAAACTCATAAATGATATCTTTGCAAAGAAAGAATAAACACAAGTGAAAATCTTCAACATCGAAAAAAGTATTTGGCACAAAAAGTGAAAATAAAACCGAAACAATTGTATAAACCATTCTCCTGAAAGAAGAAATTTTGATAAGACTGAAACATAAAACTAAAGATAAATAAGTAAGCTTCATGTTGAGCTTTAACTTCAATTCCATCTTTATCTTTAGGCCATTCTCGGTTTACCAAATTTTATGTATTCCAAGTGTCATGAGTGAGGAGGGTGGGATGGGGGATGCCATTTTGCTGACATGAGATAGAAAATCACACCATGTACTACTATTACTTGACAGCTGTGATACCTATTATCAAATATTACCTGTCAAAATCATAATTCCTAAACTGCTCTGGTATCTACATCAAATATTACCTGTCAAAATCATAAACTGCTCTGGTATCTACATCAAATATTACCTGTCAAAATCAATGTCAAAGGTCCATGGCTCACATGTCAGCATGGTACCTATCCCTCGCTTGATTTCCTCCTCCGCTTTCCACAAGTACCTCAAATAGACTCTGCCGTTTTCTCGTACTATTATGTAATTATCCACCAGAAACTGGAATGCTTTGCGGTAGTTGGTCACTTTATGGTCATCCAACTTTTTCGGAGTAATAGAGTTTTCATACAGGAAGGTATGTCCCTTTCCTCGGCTCTCTTTCTTTAACATGTCATAAATGTACAGGGCATCTTGATGAAGAGGACTCAGTTTATCAAAGATTCCGCATGCCTTATATGATTGGAGAGTAGCTTCACAGCCAACCACACTGAACTTGTACCTCAAGACCTTGAAAATGTTTAAAGAAACAATATAATGTAAAACACCTGTCTTTGCTCATGCAAGAATTTTATTTATCTTTTGTACTTTGGAGTTTTTTTCTTTCATGGAACAAACTTTACACTTACGAAATATGTAAATGCTTTGGTCTATAACTAAAAATTAGTGAAATAAACCTACTGGACTGAATCCAAAAACCCATGGCTCCTTTGTAAGTGCTTTATTAAATTCCTGACAAATCGTATTTTGAAATCTTCTTTTTCCGTCTTTATCACCATCTTGGAGAAAATGCAGAAAATGTCTTGGAAGCAACTGTGGAATCCATCTGAAGAAGTCTTGTAAATTCTGTGTAAGGTATTTATATACAGTTCCACCACTCTCTGAAGATAAATATCCAATAATGAGATTAAGGACACCAACTAATAAAAACAGTAAGGAACTGACAGCACAATTGTCTGATTTTATTTGTATGCTAAAATGCAGTAAACAGACAGCAGCAAGAGAAAAGAGAAAATGAACCTACATTTTGTAACCTGCAGATTTTCCCTCATTGAATAAGCCCACTGTTCTACTATAGACAGTTTTACCTAAAATTCATGAGATGGGTGTTTGCCTACCAGAGCTCTGCAAGTGAGAGATTATATTCTCGGCCATCCCACTCCTCTCATCATTTGATGGAATGGCTAACTTAAACCTTTCAAGGAGTTCTAGCATGTTTTGAAATGAGACTACCTCTCCCCATGACCTAAAACAAATTGTCCAAGATAACATATTAGACCAAAATAATGTTCTAATCTATGACACCAAACAAGTGATGAAAATCTCAACAAATTGTAATATGTTTTTTGTACAATATTGACAATGAACATTAAAGTCCATTAAAGTTATAATTATAAACCATCATATATCAAAAACTTAAACACTGCAATATGTAAGTAAAAACATAACAAAAAAAAAACATTATGAGATATAAATTCAAAGTAAGAGTTTGTATAACATTTAGTCAAAGTGAATAATATATGCTAATTACTTTATTTGCTCAAAAAAAGCATCCACATGCTGTTTGTCAGCACCAGTCATGGCGTTGGTGAGAAAAAGATACACTAAGTTCTGTGTCTTCACACCTGGATCATCTCTCAGTCTGTACTCAGGATTACCTTGAAAACAACATTAAAGCCAATATCATCACATATTCTCCAATAAACTTAGTTGTGGCCTTAAGACTTGGAACAGCTTTGAGCATAATCTACAAAATCTTCCCATACTACAACTTTGTTCTGTTTGGTTTATATACCACCACTTTGTTTCTTAGAGAATTATTCAGCCTTCAAGCATTGATACATTTACAGGTGCATCTTACCTGCCATAAAACGTAAACCCTTCCTTCTTGTTGTTTTCAAACGCACAGTTGCAGCCCACCAAGGATCTGTCATCAAGAATTTGCCACATATATTGATTTCTTTTCCACCTTTGAAAACTTTGAATAAAACTGAAATTGAGATGGAGTTGCACATGTATACGAGTGTTGTAAAAAGTTCCCTGCAAACAAAATGTCATGCACATACATACATACATACCCTACTGCCAAAGTAAAATTTTCAACACTGGGTATCAAAATTTTGATGATTTCACATGAATCAGCTGCTAGGCCACAAATAAAGGTAAATTGTGCAGACAGTGCAGTGTATATTTTCAAAGACAGCTGGACATTTTATATATATATTTTTTAATGACTGCTTGGCTTGTGGGAACATCCGTGGGCAGCCTTCCTCAGAAAGAAATTTGAAGTTGTGTGTTTCCTCATTACCTAGCTCATTTTGGCCACATGGGTGCTAAAAGTTCTGCATGACATAGTGTGGATTTTTAAGGAAGGCATGTGGCAACTACACTGAGACTGAACAGGCTCTGTACAATCACTTTTTAACCGACAATCCAAAATTTTCTATCTCATGTCAGCAAAATGGCATCCCCCATCCCACCCTCCTCACTCATGACACTTGGAATACATAAAATTTGGTAGGAAATAAAAGATGGTAGATTTTAACGGCCTGTCCTGTACCCCCAATCCTGGGAAAATCCTGGGAAGCCTGCTTGGAGAGGTTTTATCTCTACTAGTACACACGAGAGATTGCATCAAATAAAAAAACACGCTATCTCACCCGTTTTTTCGGCCACAGGCTGAGATCTGGCTAAGTTTCCACCATTTTCGACAGTTTCCATTTCGTCCATGTCAAGCATATGAATGTCGTCGTCCGCTTCTCCTTCTTCAACTTCTTCATCTTCGTCCTTATTCTCACAATCTTCACGACTTGGAAGAAAATATCCATCAACAACTTCAGCAAAAAGGCTCCTTTTCATTCCCGCCATTTCAAAATGTCAAGTCGCAGGAGGGAAAGAGGTCACCCTATCAAATAAACGGGGCCGTAGCAATAGTCCGAAGGTTCGATAGTCCGAAGGTTCATTGGTCCGAATATTCACTATAGAACCTTCGGACCAATGAACCCTTGATTAAAAAATCGATGAAAATGTTACCACTTTTCGGACCAACGAACCTTCGGACCAATGAACCTTCGGACTATCGAGACGCCCCCAAATAAACGGAAGCGACCTGTTTCAACATGTTGTTCACAAGAACTTCCGGCTCATGGTCTGCACTTCTGCAATTTAACTAGCTCAAATTTTACTTTTGACATGCACCTCTTAATGTAGCCTCAATTAAACCAATAATAATAAATGAATTTGCCACAAATTAGCTTTACTATATTCAAAATTACTTGAATTACACTATTTATGCAGTTGCCATGGCACCGTAGAGTATCTCCGTAGATATAGTCTAGAAACTTCCTGTGGCATTGCTCTTGTGTCTTTTGAATTTGACTTGTTGGTAAGTAAATTTAATCTTAGGTCTCACTAGGTAGATTTCAGAAATTCTTAGCTCAATGGGTATGAGTGCATGTAGTGATATTTTACCTTTTCGAAAATCTGCGTCCTGTGATTTTATCATTTTGCTGCACCAGACCCGTCGGTCAACAGCAGTGGTGTTGGAGCCGTCATCAGATTTGTTGAAGCAATGATGCAGCAATGTGTGTTTTAAGCGAAAATGCCTTCCATACATTATACGTTAAATATCTTTGTAAATATATACTGTCAGTACTGGTAGATTATACCTTTAAGATCTGCACCAGCAATTCATACGGCTCATATGATGTTTTTTCCCTTTCCTCATTTCTGACTGTTTTCAAGATCAGTGATAATGGTGAAACTTCACATCAAGAAAGGGGATGAGAGCCGGTTTCTTTATGAGACTACAGTGGACATACCAATTGATGATCTCATGAAAGATGCAGTGGCAATATACAATGGACAGCTTAAAGTGGAAAGGATATGTGCAGGTTCGAATAGAATTTTATTTTTTAATTTTTTTTATAATAGGAAAAGGAAAGAAAACTAATAAAGGATTTTTTCTGTCGCATTTAGAATTAACATAATTACATTTATTTCAACTGGTGCATTTTATGGGGGGCATAATGGTTTTTCTTAGAAAATTCATTGAAGTAAAAGGACAGTTGAAATTATCCAGTTTAACACCAAGAACCCAGTATTCTCAGTTTACCTGATATGCAATGGCAGCTTAAAAATTAATATTTTGTTTAAGATTGAAAATTATAAATAAGCATGTTGGATATTTCATTTATGCTACATATTCTTGTCAACTCTCTTTCAACTGTCATACACATCTCACAACTTCTAATGATCCAATATTCAATTCCAAAACTTCTGCAGACATGGATTTCCTTGCCAAACATGGCACTATGCTGCCTCCCAATATGGTGGGACTTACAGACGACCAGATTGTTGACTTGAAGCTGAAAGATGAGTGGGCAGACAAATGTGTTCCCAGCGGAGGGTTTGTGGAGAACAAAGACCAGCTTGGAAGACGAAATGGGAATGGTATGAGATTTGTTTAACTTTTTTCTCCTTGTAGATCTGCAACCTCTGTTAATCTTTATTTTGGTAATTATTCTTGTGATTAATTAAATGTACAGATGCACTTATACAACGTCCCATGTTTATTTCATGGGGGATATGTTTCATTTTATTTTTAAAAAGCAGGAAAATAGGAGAAAATGTATTTTTGTATTGTCTTTCAGCTCCAAACGAAAAAATGGCTGAAGTTCTAACAAAAACTATGCAAGAAGCTAAGGATATGGTATCAAAGAAGTTGGCAAAACAAGGGGTCTGTATGACTCAGGCTAAAGTAAAAGAAGCAATAGACATTTTACGTGGAGCAGTAATGATAGTGTATCCAATGAACTTGCCTCCACACGATCCAATCAGAATGGAGTTTGAGAATACTGAAGATTTGGAGGGAACACAGGTGTGTTATTAGACCTACCTGTATAATTGGTCATTTTAATCGTTTGATTCTCTTTAGTCTTTATTTCTCATGATATCTTTAACTAAAATGTTAGTAAGAAACTTTACTTTGAATGTACTGTTAAGCATCTAATTAATTTTCATGANCTGAATGAATCCTAGTAGGCAACTGGCTTTTTTACATAAGTTGTTGGATTTTTTAGGAAGGCATGTGGCAACTACACTGAGACTGAACAGGCTCTGAACAATCACTTTTTAACCAACAATCCAAAATTTTCTATCTCATGTCAGCAAAATGGCATCCCCCATCCCACCCTCCCCACTCATGACACTTGGAATACATAAAATTTGGTAGGAAATAAAAGATGGTACTGGTAGATTTGAACGGCCTGTCCTGTACCCCCAATCCTGGAAAACGGCCTGCTTGGAGAGGTTTTATCTCTACTAATACACACGAGAGATTGCATCAAATAAAAAAAAAACACGCTATCTCACCCGTTTTTTCGGCCACAGGCTGAGATCTGGCTAAGTTTCCACCATTTTCGACAGTTTCCATTTCGTCCATGTCAAGCATCTGAATGTCGTCGTCCGCTTCTCCTTCTTCAACTTCTTCATCTTCGTCCTTATTCTCACAATCTTCACGACTTGGAAGAAAATATCCATCAACAACTTCAGCAAAAAGTCTCCTTTTCATTCCAGCCATTCCAAAATGTCAAGTCGCAGGAGGGAAAAAGGTCACCCTATCAAGAACAGACAAAATAAACGGAAGCGACCTGTTTCAACATGTTGTTCACAAGAACTTCCGGCTCATGTACGTGCTGGTCTGCACTTGTGCAATTTAACTAGCTCAAATTTTACTTTTGACATGCACCTCTAAATGTAGCCTCAATTAAATTAATTAGAATAAATGAATTTGCCACAAATTAGCTTTACTATATTCAAACTTACTTGAATTACACTATTTATGCAGTTGCCATGGCACCGTATAGTATCTCCGTAGATAAAGTCTAGAAACTTCCTGTGGCATTGCTCTTGTGTCTTTTAAATTTGAATTGTTGGTAGGTAAATTTAATCTTAGGTCTCACTAGGTAGATTTCAGATATTCTTAGCTCAATGAGTATGAGTGCATGCAGTGATATTTTACCTTTTCGAAAATCTGCGTCCTGTGATTTTGTCATTTTGCTGCGTCAAACCCGTCGGTCAACAGCAGTGGTGGTGATGGAATCGGCATCTGATTTTTTGAAGCAGTGTGTGTTGTAAGCGAAAATGACTTGGACGCATTATACTTAAAATATCCTGGTAAATATATACTGATAGTCTATACCTTTACGATCTGCACCAGCAATATATTCACATTGCTAGTATGATGTTTTTTCTCTTTCCTTATGTAGCTGTTTTCAAGATCAGTGATAATGGTGAAACTTCACGTCAAGAAAGGGGATGAGAGCCGGTTTCTTTATGAGACCACAGTGGACATACCAATTGATGATCTCATGAAAGATGTAGTGGCAATATACAATGGACAGCTTAAAGTGGAAAGGATATGTGCAGGTTCGAATAGAATTCTATTTTTTCATTTTTTTTAAATAGGAAAAGGGAAGAAAACTAATAAAGGATTTTTTTGTTGCATTTAGAATTAACCAATTTACATTTATTTCTGGTGCATATTATGTGGGGCATAAAGGTTGTTGTTAGTAAATTCATTGAAGTAAAAGGGTTTCAAATGAAATTATCCAGTTTTACACCAAGAACCCAGCATTCTCAGTTTACCTGATATGCACTGGTAACTTGAAAATTGGTATTTTGTTTAAGTTTGAAAATTATGAATAAATATCTTGGATATTACATTTATGCTACATATTCTTGTCAACTCTCTTTCAACTGTCATACATATCTCACAACATCTTATTTTCCAATATTCAATTCCAAAACTTCTGCAGACATGGATTTCCTTGCCAAACATGGCACTATGCTGCCTCCCAATATGGTGGGGCTTACAGACGACCAGATTGTGGACTTGAAGCTGAAAGATGAGTGGGCAGACAAATGTGTTCCCAGCGGAGGGTTTGTGGAGAACAAAGACCAGCTTGGAAGACGAAATGGGAATGGTATGAGATTTGTTTAGCTTTTTTCTCCTTGTAGATCTGCAACCTCTGTTAATCTTTATTTTGGTAATTATTCTTGTGATTAATTAAATGTACAGATGCACTTATACAACGTTCCATGTTTATTTCATGTGGGATATGTTTTATTTTATTTTTAAAAAGCAGGAAAATAGGAGAAAATGTATTTTTGTATGGTCTTTCAGCTCCAAACGAAAAAATGGCTGAAGTTCTAACAAAAACTATGCAAGAAGCTAAGGATATGGTATCAAAGAAGTTGGCAAAACAAGGGGTCTGTATGACTCAGGCTAAAGTAAAAGAAGCAATAGACATTTTACGTGGAGCAGTAATGATAGTGTATCCAATGAACTTGCCTCCACACGATCCAATCAGAATGGAGTTTGAGAATACTGAAGATTTGGAGGGAACACAGGTGTGTTGTTAGACCTACCTCAGGCTACCTGTATAATTGGTCATTTTAACATGTTTGATTCTCTTTAGTCTTTATTTCTCATGATATCTTTAACTAAAATGTTAGTAAGAAACTTTACTTTGAATGTACTGTTAAAGTCATAATAACTCTTCATTNCTAATGAACATTATTCCATGACTGATGTCAAGTAACAGCTAATAATGAACTTATTCTTTTAATCAAGGACGTATAAGACAGTTTTGATAAACTGTGATAAAAGGATGACACTTATAACCAAAATGGATAGATCTCTGTGCTCTTTTTTGAGAAAGAAAGGTAAAGATATGTGCTTTGACTTAGTTTTGACTGCATCATAAACCCCCTTCCTCCAATCATTGTTTATGTTTATTTCCTAGAGAGGACTTGGTGCCCCTGCCAGAGAACCAGTAGTGAGTGAGGAGGAACAGAAAGCCATGATGGCCCATTATTATAGGAAACAAGAGGAGGCAAAGGTACTTCATCTTATGATTTGAATAATATTCATATATTTTTCTAAAATTCATTTATTTCTTTGACAATTTTTTTTATTATTTTCATTTACAGTATTCTTGTTGCATGTTGGTTTTATTTCTTTGTTATTGTTATTATTATATCTTATTCATTTATTTCTTTTATTGTTGGGGCAGTCTTTATCAATCATGTTCACACAAATATTAGATTTTGTTCTATAAAAAAGCATGGAAATGCCTCCCCTATCAGGCCCGTAGCCAGCAATTTCAAAAGGGGGGTTCTTTTTCTGAAAAAGTGGACCTTTTTTTCTATAAAAACTTCATGTACCTAGATNTTAATGAACATTATTCCATGACTGATGTCAAGTAACAGCTAATAATGAACTTATTCTTTTAATCAAGGATGTATAAGACAGTTTTGATAAACTGTGATAAAAGGATGACACTTATAACCAAAATGGATAGATCTCTGTGCTCTTTTTTGAGAAAGAAAGGTAAAGATATATGCTTTGACTTAGTTTTGACTGCATCATAAACCCCCTTCCTCCAATCATTGTTTATGTTCATTTCCTAGAGAGGACTTGGTGCCCCTGCCAGAGAACCAGTAGTGAGTGAGGAGGAACAGAAAGCCATGATGGCCCATTATTATAGGAAACAAGAGGAGGCAAAGGTACTTCATCTTATGATTTGAATAATATTCATATATTTTTCTAAAATTCATTTATTTATTTGACAATTTTTTTATTGTTTTCATTTACAGTATTCTTGTTGCATGTTGGTTTTATTTCTTTGTTATTGGTATTATTATATTTTATTCATTTATTTCTTTTATTGTTGGGGCAGTCTTCATCAATCATGTTCACACAAATATTAGATTTTGTTCTATAAAAAAGCATGGAAATGCCTCCTCTATCAGGCCCGTAGCCAGCAATTTCAAAAGGGGGGTTCTTTTTCTGAAAAAGTGGACCTTTTTCTATAAAAACTTCATGTACCTAGATCAAATTTTACCCAGAGTGGACCTTTTCCCAGCAAAAAGGGCAGTTCTTTTCGAACCCCCCGAAACCCCCCCTGGCTACGGGCCTGCCTATACTGAACTTCACAATATCTCAAACCCCCCTTTTTCTTCTGACACATATCAAACCTCAGTTGATGGTAATCATTTTTTACCTCTTTTGTTAAGATGACAGGTCAGAAACAAAATGTTTTTACAATATATCACAATACATGCTATTTTATTTTAAATATATAATGCTTAAATGATATATGATAAGACTTATCAATGGCTCAATCTATATTTTCTTTATCAATTTTTCAGAAATTGGAGGCAGCTGATGAGGATTCTTACTTAGATGCTAAGTGGGCAGATAATAATGAGCTCAAAAGACAATTCCAAGGATTGAAAGACATCAAATGGGGTGGCCCTCGGTGACAAAACTGCAGTTCTTACAGCTCATAAATTGTTGCTGCTCAGTATCTTCAGTGTTATACATAAGTTATGAAAATATCTGGGGAAATTACACTAATGCTTACTTTCACCAGTGTAAAAAAAAATATGAAAACTGTCATTATAAACAACAGGATATTGCTTGAGGAGGCAACATGTTTCAATAAACCAGTGTTTGACTGTGTAAACAAAGAAAATACTCACCTGTATGATTGTCACCTCTATCACTTTTATAATGTTTGCATACTTTAAATGGGCTTGCAACATTTTTTCCCTTGTTTGATTGCCTGCAAGACCTTAATGTGAAGAAAGCTCTATTTTGTATTTAAATGAACAAGGAAGGAAAAACATCCTTAATGCAGGAATAGTGAAGGTTCCCTTCATACAGTTGTTGTTGCCCATTCATTTATTATGATGTCCACAACAGTTACGACAATCTTGTCACAGTCTCCACATGTATAATGACCAATCCAGTTGTTCTGTTTCATGTTTGTATGTTAGATGTAGTTGTGTGAAAATGTTAGATGATGTAAATGTTCATTTTCCAAGAGATTTTCATACCTGTTCCTTTTTTCTGTTACAAAAACATTGCTAATGTTATCTAAAGTAATTTCAAAAGAGACCAGAAGTTGACTGCTTACAAGCTATTGTAAATGGGTAATAGTCAGTGTCATAGGGGCTTAGCAAAGTAATGAGTGGAATAATGTTGACTTAAAGTTCTTTCATTTTGAAAGTCATATAGTTTTGTTTTAAGTTAATATATGGGGTAATAATAGC